CGTCGTTGCGAGAGCGGCAACGTTCGCGCCCGCTCTCGCGGTCCTCCCGTCCTGTCCTTCTCTCTTCCCGCGTTTTCCCACCTCCTTCCACCCACCCTCTCCCTCGCCCTTTCCCATACTCCTCCGCTCTCCTCTTTCTCTGCGTCGTCGCCTCGCCGTTCCCTTCGTCGTGCGTTCCACGTCGATCATCGCGATGTTGACGCCGCCGCTGGTACCGATTCGGACTTTTCGCTGCCCGGTGCATATTTACCACCGCGATGGATACCTCCCTGCCTGAGACTTAAACGAGTGGTTCGCGTGGCGGAGCTTTTCCAAACCAAATCTAATTTCCCTAACTCGCCGGAGTTCGTATCCGAGAAGAATTCGTCCAGCGGTTCGCGTTCCTCCCCCTGTATCCAGAGACATTCCCAATTCTTCACGGACGGCAGCCGAACAATTTCTATACACGCGCGCGAATCCAGTGAAAAAGAGCGACGATTTCGTTCCGAGTTCAGAGTTCTCGCGACAAGTGAGTTCAACGAGGTAACGGCAGCAACTTTTCGGTTGGCTGTTCGCCGCGGTGATCGACCACGATTCCTCCGGAGCACCTACACACGCGAAGAACGCCTAACCGACTAATTGGATCGCGCCGTAGAAAACGATTATTTAACGACAACGACGCCTCCCAGCCTGACGTTTTCTCCAGCCAAGCAAGAACATTAACGATCGTATTTAGGGAGTCGTGCTTCCCGATAACGGAGTTACGGCTCGCCGGTAGAAAGGAGAGATGGCCGTCCTAATGAAATTAAGGGTACAAAGAGACGGTTCGCGTCTGTCCCTCCGACTCCGGCAGACACTCCTAAATGGCTATTAACGCGAATTTTGGGACCAGCGCCTCTCTCCCCGGCCGTTCCCCGCCAGAGTCGCTCCATCGCTTCGGAATTTGTTCCTCCGTCTTCGTTACCGAACCGACCGTTACCGGCCATCCAGCGGCAGAGTTTCGAATCGACCCAATTCGAACGTCGCGACTGGTTTCGAGCGTAGACGCGATATTAGAAGCGTAAAAGCGCGAATCGAACGTTGCAATGGGAAACGACGGACGACGAGTCGTTGGACTTGTATTCGAATAACAGCGCTCCCGGGATTTCGACGAAGGAATATCGTTCGGTTTTTACGGGTCGCGGGATTGCGTCGCGATAAAAGCGCAAATACGCGTTATTCCGCCGTAACTGTTGCCTCGTTCGCGGTAACCGCGTCTCCGTGATTTTGGCACCGGAAATCCTCCTCTCCTTCGACGATTCCTTTCTTCGCCGAATTTCTTCTCGTAGGTTCCGCGATACGGACCAATCGGTGGACGGAGGTGAACGAAAGGGCGTCGACGTGGAAGGGAAGTAGCAGGTACCTAGCCGACGTCTGACGAGAGATTTGGAAAAAGGGGGGAGAACGGGGCGCGCGAAGCAGGTTTCGGGTAGTATCCGTTAAGCTGTGGATCATCGCGGGCCGGTAACGTAGGGGTGGCACCGGCTATAACGCTCGTATTTCTCATATCGTTGATACTTTCAGCCGTGCCCCGACCCAGAGAGCGTATTGTAAGGGTGGTGCGCGCTCGAGGCTAGCTCGAGCTCCGCAGAGGGAAGGGAGGCGGAGGCGGCGGCGGCGGTCATAAATTTTACTACGTAATATTGTTTAACTGCAAACAGTATACTAACGCCCTACGTTCCGGCGAAATGGAAAAATTTCGACTGAAACGGCGAGATGAACGCCGCTGCTCCGGCGTCCTCCCGCGGAACCAAGAAAACTCGAATGTTTAGGTTGGTTTCGCAGCGAAGGGGAACAACCGGCGGAAATTGGCCCCCCGTCCCGTAGGCTGTTTCGCGAACTTGGGAATATTCCGGAAGTTGGTCGCGATTCGACGAAACGGTGCGACGCGAGCGGTTCGCAGCCGCCGACAGTACTTTCGCGACGGCAACACGCACTCTCGCTGGCCAGTTATGAAAAAATACGAGATGAGAAAAATGGACGGAAATGGCCGACCCAGGCCGTACCGTGCTACGAAATAAAACCGTAAAGTATCGGTGTTGGGATTTCCGCGCTTTTATTCCACGCTACCTTGGCCAGAAATCTTTCGCACGACCCATCTACCGCGTTCGGGAATTTCACCTTTTCGAATCGGATATCGAAGAGAAGGAGCACACGGATCGGTGGCATCGAATCGTACAAAATCTGTGGTTCGGTAGGCCACGAGTCCGTACCGAATACCTGAACAGAACGGCGGGTATTTGAAAGATATCCAAAGACAGGAGGAAAAATAGGGTGTAAGAGATAAAAAGTGATATACAGAGGTGTGTATATGTAGGCCGAAGATGACCGGCGCACGGCTCGTCGCAACTCGTCGCGACTCGTCGCGATATGTACAGGGTGGCACGAAATTAGCCATTTGCAGGGTAATCGTTACCTGGTCGGGCTCTGGCCGTTCCTCCCGGAATTACAGGGACGGCAGCAACCTTGTACGTATTGTACAAGAACAATGAGCAAAGAGAAATATTGATGATGCTGCTGCTGCCGTGTGGCTAAGCGCGCGAGCATTCGTGCGTGTGCGTGTGCGTGTGCGCGTGCAACGTGAAAGGACCGTGCGTACACATGGAGCTGTAGACAAGGGAGGAAGAAAGAGGCAGCACATAGAAGCACGCGAGAAGGTACGCAACGACAGGGAGGAGAAGAGACAAAGAGGGAGCGAGAGAGCAGGAGAAGGAAACACGAGGGGGATAACGAAGAGAAGGATGGAAGAGGGTACGCGGGCGCATAGAAAGAACGGCAAGGGGAAAAGGGAAAATGATAGAAGGAGAAGAAGAGCGGCTAAGGGGGCCAACGGGAACGAGAGAGAGTTATGTGCTTAATATTTCAGCATCGCGAAATTCTGCCCCTGAATCATTAATCGCCTACCCCTGCGGTGCCTAGCCGAGTCTCGCCTCCTCCTCCACCACCTCCTCCTCCACCTCTTCCTCCTCCCACTCACTTTGCTTTTGCTCTCGTTCTCGCTCTCGCCCTTTACTTTCACCACCCCTTACACCCTGCCTCTCTTCGCGCCGCTATCCCTCTCTTTCCCACCACCGTCGCTGTTGCTTTCGCTCCGCGACTAGGAGAG